GGATTTACAGTTCAGAAAGTGAGTCTATGACCATCACAGTGGGTGGGGAGCACAGTGGCAGGCAGGCAGGCAGGCAGGCAGGCAGGCAGGCAGGCAGGCATGGTGCTAGAGCAGTAGCTTGGAGTTTACATCTGATCCACAAGCATGAGGCAGAGAGAGACCCTGGGAATAGCAGGCTTTTGAAACCTCAAAGCCCAACCCCTGTGATACACCTCCTCCATCAAGGCCACACCTCCAGATCCTTCACAAATGGAGACCAAGCTTTCAGGTATGTGAGACTGTGGGGTCATTCTCATTCTAGCTACCACAACAGGCTACCTACCATTCCTATTATCATGGTCATTGCCATGCCTAACCCACCATGGTAGACAGTATTCTTTCAAGTCACGAACCAAAATAAACTTCTCATCTTTAAATCACTTTTGTCTGGTCTTTTGTCACAGCAGTGAGAAAAGCAACCAATTCAAGCACCCAGAGACTTATTGGTGATAATTATAACCACTGGTCCATTGCAGAATGTCTCTTCCCTGCAATTCAACAGCGTTGCAACCCACCTCAGATTTTTTGTTTGTTTGCTCAAATACCTGGAGATCCTCCAACTAGTGTAAAACTGGAGGGAAAAAAACCTGTTATCTGACCTTCCCAAACTATTGCCTTCCAGGTAGCAATGCAGAAGGGAAGGATGAAGCCTTCTGTCATGGCCTGTCTCACCCCTACACTCCTCCCTTTCCTGTTCCACTACAGTTCCCAAGGGGAGCCTGCTGGAGTCTGCAATATCACTAGAGTGAGACCTCTGGAGCTGCCAAGCTACAGAGTGATGCAGGAGGCGCACAGCAGGTAGGACATGTCGGCTCATACTGAAACAGCATCTGAACAGCTGGTACACAATACAGATGGTTGCCAATTGGTGTCTGCTCCAACCCCCCCCCCATTACTGTGTGAACAGCCCCAAATGACCTAGTCTCCAGAAACCCAGTCCCTACACACATGCATTGAAAGAATTCCATTTGTCCTGTCTACCTTGCCACATTATAATGACTCATAATGACTGTCCATTACATAATCATTTAAATGGTTTTACTTAAGCTTTCTCTTCTCTATGACTACCTGCAGTCAGACACCGGGCAAATTAATTGATCTGTAACAGTGTCCTCCTGCAGAGTCACAATTGGGCCATCTCCTACAGGTACAGGAGATGAGAGTCAAAGCTTAAGGCAGGTGTTCTTAGCCTGTGGGTCACAACCCCTTTGGGGGTCAAGACCATCTGCATATCAGGTATTTACATCATGGTTCATAACAGTAGAAAATTACAGTTATGAAGTAGCAGCAAAAATAATTTTATGGTTGGGGTCACCACAACATGAAGAACTGCATTCATTAGAGGGTTGTGTATTAATTAGGAAGGTTGAGAACCACTGGCCTAAGGAGTGGCTGGAGCAGGTTCAATATTAGATGCCACTGAACAAGCAGCTACCAAGTCTAAGGAATTGAAGATGAAGCTTGTGGCTCCAATGAAAATGCAAGCCTCAGGGGTGACCAGAAAGGAGGTCATAGGGTGTTTGGTTGGTTGGTTGGTGGAGGGGAGATATTTACATTTTTAGATACTGACAGCTACCAAAAACAATCAGAAAAGCAAACAATATCATTACAGTTTTCCTGTATATACCTTCTAAAAACTTCTGACTTCTTCTGAGTCATCAAACATTTTGTGCTTCATTTCTTGTCATTTTTTAAAACACTGTTTCTTTTAGCCAGCTGTGAAGACACTGTCAGCTTGGATGCCTTTATTTGTTTATCGTTCAGTTCTGGCACAGGAACTCATGCTGAGCAGTCTCTGGCATCTTCCACTGCACCACACTCCCAGCCTAGTAAGGATTTTTTTTTAAAGTACAGTGCATGCCCAGGGGCTCCTTCTCTGACCGGTCCATTGATTTGATAAATAATAAGCACATGTGGATAAATACATAGGGACAATCATGCCTGATGACCAGGGTACCTCTTCTCTTAAACCAACTTATATTTTTACTCTTTGTTGGTTTAATGAGTTGTGCATATTCTAGATTTTGACTTACTATATTTATTTAAGCATTTTTTTAAAAAAAAATTGTGTGTCTGTGTGTTTGTCTGAATGTATATGCACTGCGTGCAGTTCCTGAGAGCCGAAGAGGCAGTTGGCTCCCTTGGACCTGGAGCTACATAAGACAGTTATGAACTTCAGTGTGGGTGCTGGGAACTGAACCCTAGTCCTCTAAAGGAGGAGCAAATGTTCTTAACTGCGGAACCATCTCTCCAGCCCCAGCATACCCATTTCTAAAAAGGCTGTGGCACTAAGGTTAGAAACACAGACTTGGCAGTCAAGAAGCCTGGGTCCCAGTTTTGCCCCTTCCTCAGCTGTTGTCAGCTTGGATAATTATTTGCCTCTTTATCTATACAAATGGAGATGATAATTATTCTTACCTTTGGGATAAAGAAGTAGGAAGTTGGTATGGAACAAGTACTCCAAAAGATAACTATTTGTTATCCTGAAGGGACCTCTCAGGCTTTAATATTGGTGTATTCTATCTAGCTTTAGTTGACAGCTTAACACAGCTAGGAGTCATCTGAGACAGAAATCCTCAACTGAGAAATTGTCTGGATCAGATAGGCCAGTGGCCATGTCTGGGAATGGTGGTTGTCTTGACTGTTAATTGGTGTAGAAGGGCACAGCCTACTGTGGGCTGCACCATTCCCTAGGACAATGTTCCTAGGCTGAATGCAAAAGCTCGATAAGTGTGAGTGTGTTAGTAAGCCAGTAAGCAGCAACTCCTGTGGTTTTTGCATCACATTCCTGTAAGAGTTGTTTTGTTTTGTTTTTTTTTTTTTGCCTGACTTCCCTAAATGATGAACTGTAATCTGTAAGCTGAAATAAACACTTTTTTCCCTAAGTTGCTTTTGGTTAGTGTGTTTTATCACAACAACAGAAAGGGAAGAACACAGTGCCTCTTAGATCTGTCACTCAGAGATTTTTTTTGTTGTTGTTCTTTTGGTATTTTATTCGTCAGCTTTCTAGTCTGTAGTTTCTTCTTGTCTTCCTCCTCTTCAATCTATTCTCTCGGGAAAGTATGCCTCCCTCCTTGTGTATGCTCGCTGCCCTTCTTGAAGTTCATCTCCATCCCTCTTCCTGAAAGGGAAGCGACCTGGAATTGTTCAAGCCTGAGCTTTCCAAAGGCAAGTTAAGGGCTGCTGGCAATATCAGCTCTGCAATGGCTCAGGAGCTGCATCAGTTAGGAACCACTCCCTGACACTAGAGGTCACTGTTAAAGCAGTATTTCAAAAGCAGGCCACTTTTCCAGCTGTAAATTTGAGACAGTCCTTCAGAGCACAGGTATTATTCATGGAGTCTGGGGTTTGTCAGGCTCCCACACTGAAATTCACTTCTAATCTCTTCTTGTTTATCACCTCTAGAAAACAATTCCATTTTCCCCGAGTGGGTGAGACCTCTACCTGAGAAGATGCAGACTTCAAAAGCCTGCATTGCAGACTTCAAACCAGCCTCTCCAGCTCCCACGCCAGGCCCACTGCTGTGTTCCTGAACCCTGGGGGACCTTTTCTAAGGCACCCTCTATTCTAAACATGTTAAATCAGAACCCTGTCCCCTCCATGTTCATACCTCAGCTTTCTTCCTGGGGCTGAGCTGAAACCTTAAGGCCTTCATTCACCAATGTTGGATTTACTTCCTATTATTTGTTGAGTGTATCTTCTTCCATTAAATTGAATAACAGTACTCACTTCAGAGGGCTTCAGGGATTATAACCCACACCCCTGCCTCATCCTCACCTATATCTCTTAGCCTCGAAATCTTCTTTTAAAACCATTATTACTTTAACATATTATTTTAACATCCATCTCACCCCTACTCCCCTTAATATTAACCCTTCCTTGAGTTTTGTCGATTTTGAGCTATGCACAAATAGTCTTACCAATGCCCCGGCTTCCCCTCTAGCTGTCCTGTCTTCTCCTTGACCTCAGCCACTTGATGCTGTTATAGCCTGGGCTGTCTAAAGGAACCTCCTGAGTGAGGCAACTGTTTTCTATCCAGTCAGAGCCACAGCGGCTGCAGAGCACTGGAAATGTGAACGGCGTCAGTGAGCAGCTAAGCTGTAAACTCTGTTTAATGTTTAACTCGTTCAATGTAGAGCACCAATCTGTGTTTGAATTCTTGTTCTGTAACCTTTCTATAGATGGAGACCTAGCCTAAATCACACTTACTTCCCTGAATTTCCAAGTCTTGGGATTACTGGGTCTCTTGGCTCCTAGCAGTTACTGGCCATGGGTCTCCATCCCCATTGCATGGTCAGGGGCTCTGTCTGGGAACCTGACATTGTAGCATCCTGCACTGTTGCAAGGCCATCAGATTCGTGGATTCTCAATTATCATGTGAGTGAGTGGTATAACATTTAAGCAAGGGGTGAGTGTTCACTCACCACAGTGCCTTACCAAGAAATTCTCCTTCTTCCTCAGTTTCTCTCTCTACACAGTCATTTCCATCAGCCTCTTCACTTCCTCCCCCCTCCACCCCTGTGCATGCTTGAATATGTGTGTGTGTGAGGGGGCATGTATGGTATGTCTCTCTCTGTGTGTGTGTGTGTGGTCTGTGTTTGTGGAGTGTGTGGGGGGGTGTGAGGGAGTTAGTGGGGAGGTCAGAGGACAGCCCTTGGATATTGGTCCTCACCTCTCTGCCTTGTTTGTAACAATCTCTTCACCGATACCTAACCAGGACTGGCTGGTTTGCAGGCTTCTGAAGATTCCATTGCTTCCCTCAGGGGCACTGGGATTGTCTGCAGTGTGTGTTACTGTGTCCTTTTGCCTCTGTATCTAAATGAGATCATCAGGCTCACACAGCAGTATTTTTACCCACTGAGCCATCTCCCTAGCCCCATTGCCTATCTTAACAAAACCTCTCCTTGCTCCGATTCTGTATCTGGTCCCTGATGCACCCCCACACTCACACACATCATCGCATGAATGTCCACTTGGAGTCTGCTCCTAACAAGGCCCAGGGGCCTCTATACTGCCAAGGTGAGGACATCTCTGTCTGCCTCTGCTTTGACCTCAGCACCTCACTGTTACTGTCAAGTTTGCCTTCTCTCAGCCTTCTGCGGCCCCAGTGTTCCCTCCTGCTTTGTCTCCTGTTGTGTTCTCTCTTTGCCCACCCTGCAATTTCTATGTGTTGGACCACACAGAAGCTGAGTCCATTTTTCTGTATTTACCTGTGCTCTAATTGAGCTAACTTGGGCTTGGGGCTTCAACCCTCTCCAGATGTTGGCCACTTCTGCATTTTTATCTTTATTGCTGACCTCTCCTGCAAAGTCCAGGCCAAAATACCAAATGGCAACTGGACACATCCAATCTGACAGGTCCTCATTTGAACTCCTCCACCCCATCCTGATGTCCCTTCTCCATACTTGTGATCTGCTCCTCCTGTGTCTTCCCATCTCAGTTAGAGGGAACTCCATCTTCCGTCTGCTCATCTGCTGCCTGAGGCTTCAGCTTGTCCCTCCCTCCCACCCTTCCACTGCCTCCCTCCCTCCCTCCCTTCCTCCCTCTCCCTCCCCCTGCCTCTTTTATGCTACCTCTTCTTTCTCTCGTGCATTGTATATGGTCTAGCAACAAATGAGGTTAACACCGTCTTCAAATTATTGCCAGGGACTTGGCCATTTTTCAGCCTTCCATTTCAGCCACCTCATTATAAGTCACCTCTCTCTGGGGTTACAGAAGTTGTCTCCAATCTTGCTTTCAGTGTATTCTCTAAACTCAGTTGAAGTGACCTGCTTGAACTTAAGTCCCATCATGCCACTCTTCTGCTCAGGATACTGGGTTGGCTTCTGTCTCAGTTGGAATGAAAGCTAAAGTTTTCAATGTCCAAGAAGCTGGGGGTTCCCTTGCCTGTACCTTATCTCCAACAGATCCTCTGCTGTTCACTCCAGGCTGACCACACTGACCTCCCACTATCACTGGGATTAGATACAACTTCACAGATACTGCTCTCCTTGCTAGGGATGGGCTTAGACCCGGCTTCTTTTGTCTTGTTCCCTTACTTCCTGCTAGTTCTCTGCACACATGTGATCTTCTAGTGTGGCCTCGCTTGTCTTCATAATGTTAATATTAAGTTGTTGTGCCTTCTTCCAGCATTCTCCTTCCCCTTTCCTGCATTTTCTTTTTCTTCTTAGCACTTAGCATTATCTATCATCCCATTAACTTGGTTTTGTCTTGCTTCTTGTCTTTTGCCCCAGGAGAAGGTAAGCTCCATAAGAGTAAGGATTTTCATTGCTGTGTCTCATTACTTGGGTCAGCATCTGGCATGTTTGATGAATACACTACAAACAATGTGCTTAATGTCCTTATAATTGCAACTACCACATGACAATATGCTGATTCGTCTTAGCTGGCACTTTTTTACTAATTAATTTTTCCCCAGCCCCATCACATTTTTTTTCTTTCTCCCTCCTCTCCTCCTAATCTCTCTCTGCAACCTCATCCTTCACTCCTACTCCATTCTCATCAGGAAAGAGCAGGCCTCCCATGGATATCAACCAGCTATGACATATCAGGCTGCAGTGAGACTAGGCACCTCCTCTGGACACACACACACACACACACACACACACACACACACACACACACACACACTCTCCATCCCAACAGCAGCTTCCTCACTTTGGGTTCTCATCCTCTCACACTTGGACCATCTCAGTAATCTAACTTGCCTTCCTGTCACTTGCTTTGCTCCTTTAGACCCACCCGGCCTTCTAAAAATGAATTTGATCCTTTCATAGCTCAGTCCAAAACTCTTTCATAGGTCTCCACTGCTTTCAGATGAAGCCACAGCATTCATGTGACAGAATGACTCACCTCCCTTTATGCATTCAAACCACAAGATCCCGCCCTTTCGCAGCACTGTGTCCCTGGCTGCCAAGAACACCCTGCCCACTCCTGCACCTGCTCAGCTTCCATTTTCCCTCCACATTCTCTTCAGGGACTCTCCAGTCCCCTGCAGGGCACACCTCTTCCTGCTGCCTCCTCAAGCTTCTGCCTCAGCATCATTGGGGGCCTTTACACATTTATACTCTTGTCTTAGGGTTTCTATTGCTGTGAAGAGACACCATGACCATGGCAACTTGTATAAAGGAGAACATTTAATTGAGGTGGCAGCTTACTGTTTCAGAGGTTCAGTCCACTATTATCATGGTGAGGAGCACGGTGGTTGGGAGTATGGTGGCATTCGGGCAGACATGGTGCTAGAGAGGAAGCTGAGAGTTCTTACATCTTGAGTCACAGGAGACAGGGAGTGATCTGAGACACTAGGTGTGGCTTGAGCATATATGTGACATCAAAGCCCACCTCCACTGTGATATGTTTCCTCCAAGAAGGCCATAACTACTCCAACAAGGCCATACTTCTTAACAGTGCCACTCTCTTTGGGGACCATTTTCTTTCAAACCACCACAACATTTCTATCTAAATTATTTTTTTAAGATTTATTTATTTGGATAGGTGGTGCACACCTTTAATCCCAGCACTTGGGAGGCAGAGGCAGACAGATCTCTGATTTTGAGGCCAGCCAGTATACAGAGAATTCCAGGACAGCAAGGGCTATGTAGATAAACCCTGTCTCAAAAACAACAAAAAAGATTTATTCATTTGTTTGTTTGTTTATTATGTGTGGACACGTGATTGCACACAAACATGCTTGAATTTACTTGTACCATCTGCATACAAGGAGGCTAGAAGGAGTTGTATCTCCTGGAGGGCTGAGAACTGAACCCTAGTTCTCTGCAAGCACTGTGTTTTCTTAAGTTCTGTGCCATTGCTCCAGCCTCTCTGCCTAGGTTCTGACCCCACTTTTCTTCTCTGTCTTGATACAAATTCTCTTCTCAGGTTTTGTCAGGTTTCTCTGGTATTTTTGATCCCTCATTGACTCAATGATCTTTCCCAATCACATTTCTCCTAATGTATTTTGTGGTGATATTTTGTTTGTGATTTAACAAATAAAGCTTGCCTGAAGATTGGAGAGAGAAGCTAAGCCACTAGTTAGCCATAGAAGTCAGGCAGTGGTGGCACACACCTTTAATACCAGCACTGGGGAGGCAGAAGCAGGCAGATCTCTGTGAGTTCAAGGCCACCTTGGGCTACACGAGATTGATCCAGTCTAAAAGAGAAACAGAGCCAGGCAGTGGGGGCTCACACCTTTAATCCCAGGACTAGGGAGATGGAGACAGGAGTGGTATGGCTGGGTGGAGAGAGGAATATAAGGTAGGAGGAGACAGGAGCTCAGAGCATTCAGTCTGAGGATTCATAGGAAGAGGATCACCCTTTTTGTCTGAAGAACTAGTGGCTGGCTGCTCTGCTTTTCTGATCTTTCAGGATTTACCCCTATGTCTGACTCCAGGTTTTTATTAAAAAGACCAATTAGAAATCATGGTACAGTATTTGTTCACAACTTAGAAGCCTCCGCTCCTTAGACTGGGGCATAGTCTAGTCTCTAGCCCCTCAAGAAAAGGAACCAAGTAGGTTACTATTTCACTGCCACATTCCTAGCGTGTCGCTGACGGTACTTTACTGACACTTGTTAAATGATTGGTTAAATGATTGGTTAAATGACTGAAGACCCGTGAGGCTTTAGAAATGAAAATAAAGTCTTCCTTCCTTCGTTCCTTCGTTCCTTCGTTCCTTCGTTCCTTCGTTCCTTCCTTCCTTCCTTCCTTCCTTCCTTCCTTCCTTCCTTCCTTCTTTCCTTCCTTCCTTCCCCTTCTGTCTGTCCTGTCATCTGTCTGTCCTTACCCTCTTCCCTCTTTCCATCTTTTTTCCTTTCCTTTTGTGATCCTGAGGACTGAACCCGAGACTTTATATATGTGAATGAAGCAAGTATTTTATCCCCAAGCTACATCCCCAGTCATCCATTTTATTTGAAAATCTGAGGGCAAAATAGTAAAGAGTATCTAATACAGTCTTTACATATATATTTACGTTTATATGTATTGATGACTACATAACCTAAGTTATACAGTGTATCAAAAAAACAATACAAGCACCGATTCTATGTTCAGAAGCATTTTAAAGACTAAACACAACACTTCAGAGAAGTTGAAAAGCCTCGGGCTGTTTCCTCTGTCTCTCCTCCCCGAAACTGTTTATTTTCTCGCCTATATAGGCACTACCAGAGGCTGTCCCTGCAGCCACAGCCTGTGTCTACTTGTCATGTAGACACGGGTAGACACTGTTCTTACTCCCCCAAGTCATTATGCCTTCCAGAGTATTTACATGCTAATTTCGAAGCTACTCAAAGTGCTCAACCTCCTCCTCCCTGACTTTCCCACAATGTGAGTTTGGTGGAAGGTAGGACTGTCACCTGTAACCATATATGGCTTTGACTGCTGGGTCTGCCACCCAAGACGTCCTTGATTCCTGCTTCATTTCTTGATCAGCTCACCCAGCCCTCTGACAATCCCGTGGATTGCCCTGTAATTTTCCAATAAGATTCTCCTCGTAGTTTAAGCAAACGTTTATTGAGCACTTAGTATGAGGCAAGCAAAGGCACAAATTTACACAAATTATCTTACTCAGTTCTCGGAATGGCGCAGTGAAAACATGCTATATTATCAGAACTCTGCAGAGTCTGCATTAAACACAAGAGGGTTCAATGCTTTGTCATAGAGGTCATAGGGCTTAGGGACAGAGGTGCAATTTAAACAGAGGGAACCTGACTCCAGAGGCCTCAAGCTCATCACAGTACTGACTCTGCTGTCCCATCTGTTAGGAATAAGGCAGCGAGGGTTGGGACAGCAGGTGGCAGGTCCCTGGTCTGAGCTGGGACTGAGAGATGGACAGCGGGCAGATGGGGAAACAGAGACCTGTAGACATGACTCATATTCGAAAGTTTTATTGAGGGGGAGGTAAGAAAATAAAGAGACACAGAGACAGAGAAACCAGAAGAGGAGGGAGCCAGGAAAAGCCCTGTCTGCTCCAGGGGAGGGACGGAGTGTAAGTGGGCAGGGGTCTTTCTTTTAAAGGGTCCTTTG